ACGCCTTTGCTTGGACATCTTCGAAGAATCGACAAGGGTATTTCGTCAGTTCGCGATACAGCTCTGAATCGTCAAGCAAACCTCTTTGGAATGCCTCCACTACCGTTGGTATGTCACACCTTGGAATCAACACTTTTTCTTTGTTGAAACGATGAAGATAGTCCCTCAATGATTTGCCTCGTCGATGAGCAACTTTGTATAGATCACTTGTTTGTTTCTCCAGAACGCGACTACTTGCGAATTGCAGGTTAAACAAGTCGACGAGCTCTGCAAATGAATTGATCGCCTCATTTGGCAAGTTGACGAACCAGGTAAGGGCCGGCCCTGAAAGTAACGGTCCAAATCCTCTGCACATGCATGCCTCCCTTTGGTCTGGACGAAGTGATATAGCCAGCATGTGTTGTTTGTACTGGGCGACATGTTCCCCCAGATAAGACGTACCGTCAAATGTTTTTATTGATGGACCAGCAAACTTTCTAGGTATTTCCACGTCGGTGATCTGTCTGGTAAAGGGGGAATCTGCATAACACGTCCGTGACGCTCTGTCCAAGGGCAGGGGCACTCCAGGCAATCCGTTGATCTTGTCTTGCATTTGACGCATCTATTCCATCATCATAGACATTTGATCTGCCATGCTTAGTTGGATTGGTGCTGGCATCGAGATCGTCGGTCTAGCCATCTGTGTGATTTCAGGTCGGGTCGGTGACGGGATGAAAATTATCTCAGGGCGTCGTTCCGGAAATGTGGTTGTTGATGACGTGATGGGTCTGCGAGAACGCTGCGTCTGACGCTCTAGAAATGATACGTCAGGCTAGTTACATCTGGCATCTTGCATGAAGCTGGACGGATCAGGATCTCCACAGGTCCTGCTTCTATAATGAGGAATTGAGGGCTCTGTCAAGGCAGAGGCCATACTCGTCAAAGGCATGCTCTGATTCGCCGAATATAGGCCCGTTCCTCTCGATCTGACTCGAAGGGACTCTGGGAAATAACAAGCCAGAACGTTGGGGACCGGCGTGGTCTCAGGGACGAGAGGAGTGTAAGGAATAACCTGTGAAATGACTGTTGAATATTGCTCTCCGGTTGGTGACGGGCCTAGTGTGAGAGAAACTAGATCCGTCGATGTTGCAGGTGGATCCGTCGTCGCCGGGGTGAAGCCAAGATTCAGTCTCGTGGCGGCAGTCCTGACGTCGCTCCTCCGGTGAAGCATTGAGTTTGAAGCTATCGACACCACTAATTGCACATGGGATCGAAGCACGTCATTCTCCCGTTGAAGGTGGGCCATCCGTTCCGCCACCTCGTGTCGGATTTCTTCCCTCATCGTTTCTAGCTGCTTGTGAAATTCACTCACTAAGGGGTTAGCTCATGCCATGATTGATCTTTTTCTTGCACGAGGCCCCACAGTGGGCGCCAAATTGTTTAAGCAAGAAATTGATAATCTAATCAAACAATTAAAATAAAGATTTGGGGGTTTCGTACAAGAATATACTCTAAGAATCAAGAATTAGGATTATGAATATTATTGTAATATTGAATTGTGAACACAAGGGTAGTAAGAGCTCTCCCCTCCTCCTCTCAATCTCACAAGATGTATGAATTTATACCATGTCCGTATGCTACTTTCCAATTAAGCCACATGGAAAGAATATTCATGAAAAGAATAAAATTATACACCATTAATGACCTACAGTTATATTTAATTCCCCTTATATGCAGCCTTGGTCAACATACGTGTATGTGTTGCTTTCCATGTGTGCATGCTTCTAGAATTGTGTGAACCAACACTTGTCTTCTTCATCTATGCTTCGTCGGGTTGGGTTTCTCTCTTTCTCTAGGCTTCGTCTCTAATTAATCACCACGATTGGGCCGGGATGCTTCCGATATTTTTAGGGCCCAAAAATCCATGTTTTAAATTGAATTGAAATTTTCCGCTCATAATTGGTTTGGTGACTTTGGTCTGCTTTGATAAATGTCGATATATTTTAAAACAGTTCAAGTAAAAAAAGAGTTGCAGCTTACACCATATAGAAAATTTAGGACTTCTATAATTGTTATCATTCTCTTGCAATTTGGCGTATTTTTTTGTAGGAATTTTATCAGGCTAGGTCCCGAAAATTAGGTCTACTATCAATTTTGGACCTGAAAGATAATTTGAATCAATAATGGACCTGAAACATCCCAAACTATCAATTTTGGACGTGTAGATTTAACGCCGTCAGTTTATTCCTTACGGAATAACGATGTGGCACCTTATATTAAAAAATTAATTTATAGGATGAGTCAGAATACAACTAGGTTAATTAATAAAGAGTTGCGGCGATCTTGTTCTGTTACGTAGCAGTGGCAACACCTTCAATCACAAGGATTGTCTCTTCACAAAACTTATACGACCATGTGAAATCTCCACCTAGGCCATTCACAACGAAGGATTGTTTCTTCATAAACCTTTTGCTTGATCTTCACAAATTTCTGGGAATTCAATCCCATAAGGTTTGCATCTCATCTTTACACGTTGACAGAATTCTGCAAATTGTATCCTACAAAAAAGTTTGAATTATCATCATCATATAACTATTTTTACCTGCAAGTCTCCTTTTCGTAATTACAATTCAACTAATTCTATAATGTATATTTTCTATCAAGTCATCAAAATCAATAAGATCAACTCCAGACCCCAAATCCATATCTTTTGTGATTGAGAATTTGAGATAAATAATCCAAAGCTATACACATGCACGTGGTATTCAAAGAAAATTTTAATACATAGTGATAAAGAAAAGACTGCAGAACAAGGAACATAAATATATACTTAACATTGCTTACTGGAACATAATAATTTGATCAATGAAACAAAATATTGTTGAAGGGAATATATGTCTTGCATGACAATATAGTTGATTTAAAGAATATATTTTGTCTACATTAAGTTAGATTATATCTTAGAGATAAAAGTATCTTCATGACTGTCTATTGAAAGGCAAAATGTGAAATAATTTATTAGTGCTAAAGAACTAGTGAACCTGGCAATTCAATTATGAGCCATGAAAATGATGTTAAGTGGTCTACTTTACAATAAATCATAAACCAAACTTGTAACTACAAACAAGAGTGCACAAGCATATAAAGCATATAAACACCATAACTTTGTTTGATGTTTTTTCTTGATATGAAAAATTACTTATAGTATATAATATGAATCACAGAACATAAAAAATGACCACTGTATTTTTAACATGAGGTATATATATATTGTTACAATTTTTTTTAGTTTTATAGTACGTACTTTCAAATTTAGTTTTTTCTTAAAAGATTGTTGGTTATTGTTGTTTAAGAGTTCTTTGATCTTTTTTATAGATTTTGTTTTCAGATGGCTTCTGGAGATTATGCATTAGACGAATGGAGTATAGGGGAGTATCATAGTCATGATAATAACCAAGGCACCAAGCAACTGGTTACTCTCCCCCCATAGTTGATCCAATTGGTGCAAATTTCTTAAACGACACAAGTGACTTTTCTGACTTGTCAGGAGCAGATACAATACAGTCTTTGACGGAATTGAAGAGTATTCTTGAATCTGAATCTTCAGCTAGTGGAGATGAATTGGATTCTGTCCGCACCCAAGCGAGCCAAGGGGAGGATCACTTTAAGTTGGACCAATCATTTGCATCGATTGATGATTTTTGCGAAGCTGTTAGAAGCTATGGTGTTCAAAATATGTTTAGTTTAACCTTTGTGAAGAAAGACAAGATTAAATGCCGAGTGAGGTGTGTAGGCGATCACCCATGGCTTATCTACTGTTCAAAAGTTGGAAATTTAGAAACTTACACGGTCAAAACATTTATTTCTAGTCATAGCTGTCAAAAGGAAGGAGTGAAAGAAGGATTTGCTAGTACTAAATGGTTGGCCAAAAAGTTAATTGAAGAGTTTAGACAACATGCAAAAAATGACAGGTGATGTTTAAGCAATTTTATTGATAAGCTAAAACTAATTAAAAAAGAATTTATATGAAGAATGGGCTTCGAACAAGAGCAATGAAGAAGATGACAAGTGAGTGAATAAGAATGCAAACTCGTGTGGTATTCGAATGTGAGCCTCCCCCTGATTACAATGAGGCTATCCTACTTATAGGAAAGGTAATTAAAGCCCTAATGATGACTTTTTACGTTACTGACGGATCGATCGCACTTTATGACGATTTCAAATCTGTCATAAAGGTCGATCATTTACAATCAATACCTTCATTAATCATATTAAAGAGGCTAATAATACATAAAGACGTTACAATAACTGTCATTAGGCCTTGCGAATGCTCCATTAGCTTGAGTTGTCCGTTATGGACGGTTTGACTTGACGGTTCCGATCCGTCGGTCAATTCGTCATTAATGCTTACCAGCTCAAAGAAGTAACCTCTTGCCTTAATATCATTATTAATTACAATAATGAACACAGATCCGTTACAACAGCCACCATTAAGCCTTATGAACGTATCATTAACTTCCGCGGTCAACCCTCTTTAATGCAACATAAACCGTCAAATTCTTGCTCTAACAGGTATCATTAAAGAAATATAATGTCACAATTAGTATCGCAAAGGCTTATAGAGTAAAAGCGTGTGCTCTCCAATTACTTGATGGCAATGTTGATCAACAATATTTGAGGTTACCAGATTATTGCGAGGAGTTAATGAAAACCAATTCTGGATCTACTATAGAACTAATTTGCCTAGAACATGGTCAGGCTGATCAGGCAAGATTTGATAGAATATATTTATGCATAGATGCTTGTAAAAAGGGGTTTCTGAGTGGTTGTCGACCGCTGATTGCAATAGATGGATGTCATTTGAGTGGATACTCTCGTGGTCAACTGCTTGCAGCAGTCAGTCTTGATGGAAACAATGGTTTGTTCATTATAGCTTATGCAGTAGTAGCATCCGAGACCAGAGAGACGTGGCAATGATTTTTAAACAACTTGTTGAATGATATTGGACAAAAATCCATACGCGGAGAGAGATGGACATTCATTTCTGACCAAGGAAAGGTAAATATTAAATAATATCATTTATTATTGCTTACATACATATTTTACATAATTTCTTACAAGTTGGCTTCATTGATAAGGTCTTGTGGCTGCACTAGAAGAAGTATACTCTTCTACACATCACCGTTTCGACGTACGCCATATGTATACCACCTTTCAGAAAAAATGGAAAGACGAACAATTTAGGTCCTTGTTTTGGCTAGCTGCAAAATCCACTATGATGTGTTCCTTTGAAAAATATATGAATAAGCTAAAGGATAAAGATTATAGTGCATGGGAATATCTCAGCGAAGTCGTTCCGGAGAGATGGAGTAGAGCACATTTTGAAAACCATGTCAAGTGTCATGTGTTCTCAAGTAGCATCATTGAGTGCTTCAATGGAGTTATTATAAAAAAGTATCGAGACAATCATGTAGATATCCTTATTGACAATATAAGGACTAAAGCAATGAAGTTAATGAGGAAGCAAAAGAAACTGATGAAGAAAAGGACCGGCTTAATATGTCCCGAGACACTAAAGAAGCTGAATATTTACATTATGGAATCTACTAAATGGATATCAATTTAATGCGGAGAAGTTATATTTGAGGTTACTCTTCGACCTAAAAGGTTTGTTGTTCATCTTCTACACCATACATGTACTTGTAGGTTATGGGACTTGACAGGTGTGCCTTGTGTTCATGCTTGTGCTGCTATAATTTCTATGAAAGGAAGACCAGAAGATTTTGTACACCAATATTTCACCCGTGAGTACTTTTTTCGGGCTTATGAGTATGAAATTAATCAGAAGAGCAGTACTAGTTTTTCCCCTAAAGCTGACAGTGTGCTAATACTGCCACCAGTACTAAGAAGGCTGCCCGGGAGGCCAAAAAAACAGAGACACAAGTCTTCGTTAGAAGGGAGGGATCCTCATAAAGCTAAAAGAAAATATGGGGTGATCAGGTGTGGTAAATGCAAGCAGCTTGGACATAATAAGAGATCATGTAAAGAGAATGAGCAAGTATGGCTTTACAAAAGAAATTCTCCAATCCAATTTTATTAAATACACACACAACGTACACATATACCTGTAATATGTTCCTATAATGTGTAATTTCTTTTATGCAGGAAGTATCCTGACGATGTCTAGTTTCAAACTTGCTACTCTTGTCAAGACAAGAAGAAGAGCTATGGAGAACATAGAGCACAACCTTGTTTTCATTGACACAGTGCCATGAATTAGAAGTTTTTTTATTTTTCACCTTGTTTTGATTAAAAACAGTTTGATTTACAATTGTGGTGTTTCATAGTTTGAAATCATGTTTTAATAACAAACCCCCATTGATACGTATTCTGGTTTAAAGTTTATGTGTACTGTGTGATGAAAATCGTGTTAAAGGAGCCACCTTTTAAAGACAAATCTAATTTTACACCTCTAATAAAAACATTTTACTAAAGCTTTATTGAGAAAAGCTAACACATTTCAAACTGGAAGTTGTATTGGCTTTTGAAAATACCAAAGTTGTAGTTCAAATGGAAGTGAGAGACTATGTATGTACTTATTGTTGTCCAACTAAATGATAAACAAGTGAATTAGGGTGTATGATATATAGAGAATACTAGTAAGTTGGAATAACAGGTTTGACAATGTGGAGGCAAGTCATCTACCCTTTTTAATTAAGAAGTCATTTCAATTATCACTACTCTTTTACTTTACCATTGCATAGAGAAGCAATTTAAATCCACCTGCACACATTTGATATAGGATTTCAAAAATTATAGCTTACAATGAAGTTAGAAGAAATTTCCCAATGCAATGAATATGGTTTGAAGAAGCAATCACTTCTACAATATAGAGCAAAAACATAATCTGCTCTAATAAGTTGCTAAAGTCAATACTTTGCTCTACGAATTGCAGTTTAAGTTTTTGATTGATTTGCAAGTACTAAAAACTATTTCCACATCTTAGATGATGAAGTGAAATCTCTAGAAATTAGGGTCTCTACCTTTTCTCCTAATATGTAGCTTGTGGGTTTCTCAAATTGGTAACCCAAATATTACATTGCCATAACTATACATATGAGGTTGTAATGAATAAACTCTCCCTCTATCATTGTCGGTAAATTTTGTACTTCCTAATGAGATATCCTTAATAGCTCTACATCTTCAAGCATCCCACAATTTACATAAAAACAAATAAAACAATTCAAAACACCAAACGCCTTTCACTTAATCACAAATCATTCCCTGAGACATCAATTATTTCATAACGTTAATGTTAAAATAGTATATGAGGTTGTAATGAATAAACTCTCCCTCTATCATTGTCGGTAAATTTTATCGGGACAACGATAGTTGGATGGATAGGGGTACTGACGAGGAGGCAGATGTGGGAGAAGCAAGGTAATAATGCTAAATAAATGGCCAAATAACATGGTGGAAGCAGGTGCTGGTTACCTCGCCCGTCTGGGTATCTGAAGAAATCGTTTCATTTAAACTACAAGTTCAAGCTTCTCGTTATTATGGGGAAACATCTTCATCATCTAAATGTTTATTTGTTTATGTTTTAATTTTAGTTTTCCATTATGAACCAAATGTTTTTTGGTTGTATTTTGTTTGCTACTAGCAGTGCTCTACACTTAACGGCGAGTGATGGGAAGTCAGTTTCAATTATCTTTGCCTCAGTTATGCCAATTTAAGGATAAAAAAGTCATATTACTTTGATGGAGGTGATTGATTCCAAGTCTGATTCAAGAAAGGGTAGTCGACAGAAAATTCTGTATTTTTGTGTAACTTGTCTAAATTTTAATTATTCAATGTATGTAAATCATTTTCCAAAAAAAAAAAAAAGAAACCTAGTTCATAAAAGGAACTTAATTCACTCATTAGAAAATAAAACTTATATACGGAGTAATTTGCTCGGGAGTGTTGCACTCTTCTCGTATTAAAATGAGTGGTGGTCAACTGGTCATGATACTAATACCAATTTAACTCCATTTTGACTCCATAAAATCGTAATCCGTAATGTATCACTATAAAACTTTGGATTACTTGTGTTCTGGAAGCTCATCAATAACCATCCTCCCCAAGATTATTCCTTTTTCCCCTTTAGGAAAGTTTTAACCTCGGGTCACTCGCATTGCGACTGGCCTCCCCTGGGGGAAAAGCCTAGCTTAGGGTTTCTTCTCAGCCAAAGAAAAAGGAAAAGATCACGGGTCAAAAAGTTCACAAGATAGGGAAGAATTGTTTCATCTTTACACTTGTGCGTATTCATATTCTTATATCTTAAATTTGAGGGTTATGGATTGGTTGGGCTTGTGCGGCTTGTGGCAGCTCAAGATGTAGTCTTGGCTAAAGCAGAGAACTTGTGATTTTTGTACTGCTTTTCGAGTGACGTATTGGTGAAGCAAGTTATATACCTTTGTCTCTGTGTAGTCCGCTGCTGGGCTCATTTAATGCTGCAACTTTAACCCCATGAAAATGGGATCTTCCGGATCTCCTTCTCGCAGGGTTCTGCCATTTGCGGTTACTGAAATGCGAGTTTTGTTTCTGTAATTCTTGGTCAGATAACGGGCATTTTGGGGTTCTGGAGGATCGGCTATATGAGTGGTAGTATGAGTTTTCTTTGTCCTATCAGCTCTCAACAATGGAGATAGAGTTTTCAGGGATCAAGAGCTATTGATATGGATGGCCTATAAGTAGATATATTGATTTGTTGTTTTGCATAATTTGAAGAATTGAAGTGATTCCAGTTGAGTTTAGTAGTTTATTTGTGATGGAGGATATAGGTTTGTTCAAGCAAACATGGATGTGGTTACAATCTAAGAAGGATTGGTACTCTCTTATGAGGAAAACAATGAGCTGCTTAAGGGACAAAGTTGTCATCTTCATAAAAAAACATTGGCCAATGGTTTGTTACTTTTGCGTGAAACTGGGAAAGGATCTTTTGTTTTTGTTAAGTTGCTGGAAGGATTGCATTAATCAGGGATTTCGGTCATTTGTTGGGCTTGGGTCTGCTGCTTTAATTGTTATTATGTGGAGTTCCTTTATGAGTTTAACTTCACTGTCGTGCTTGCTATATGTGCTTCTTAGTATGGTATGCTGTTATTTCTTTGGCCTGTGCTATTTTAACTGTTTTTTTATATTTTTCTTAAAACAAAAAAGAGCCGTCAGATCTGCATATACAGAACCAATGCACTATCTATTTCTGTTTCTTGTGTCAAATGTAATAATAATACTGCATGAACTGATTCTGTCTAAAAGGATATAAATGAGGATCATGATTAAAATCTGTTGATTTTAAGATGAGTTGACATATTGGTATGATAAGTTAATCATTTTTTTGGGGGCATGCTTTTTAGGGAGCTGCCGGGGCTGCTATTCAGTATTTAGGATATACTTCTGGACTTTTTATTGTTGGCCTGTTTTCCATTTTAATTTTGTGGATGTATGCCAACTTTTGGATAACTGGTGCACTCTTTTTTGTGGGAGGTATGGTTCTCTTCTTCCATTATCTCACTTTTGATATTAATACACCAAGTTGCTATAAATTGCTATGTTAGTTTTGCACATTCTCTTCACTAAAGATCCTTTTGTACAGGTTATCTGTTTTCCTTAAACCATGCAAGACTACTGGTGCTGATGGCAGTTATATATTCTGTTTATTCTGTTAAAACTCGAGTCGGGTGGCATGGAGTTTTTATCTCAATTAACCTTTCATTCCTCTCAAATGGAATCCTAAACTACCTGCTTCATCGGTATGACATCTTGCGTGAAAGCAGTCATTATGAGGAGCAGCAGCAGCAAGTAGAACCTGATTCTTCGTTCGCAGAGGAGGAAGGGTTTTGTACTGCATATGAATCTTCTTCTGCTCCTCCCAGTGATGAAACTGAAAAGCTGCATTCTTGCAAATCATCCAGCAAACCTGCTGTTATTACTACTACTGTTATGGATAAACAGGAGCCTTTAGCCAAGGAAGTTTCAAGGGAAGACTTAAATTCAGTGGCTGAGATGAAGCGGATTATAAATAGTGTTGATCACTATGAAGCAATTGGATTTTCTCGTCACAAGAAAATTGATAGTCTCCTTTTGAAAAAGGAGTATCGCAAAAAGGTATTTACCTCCTTTTATTGTGTTAAAAATAAAGGATCTCTGTTACCATTCCCACTCCCATTTTAGAAAAAGTAATAGTATAATTTTGGTGAGACCACAAATTCGGAAGAGATAGGCGATTTCATCAAAATTGCATGCTCAGCCATACATTCTGCTTTCATTCTTGTATACATTATTGCTTCCTCTGCCGCTAAAAATAAAAAAGAAGCTCTATTTGGAAGCTTATCCCCCCCCCCAAGTTTTGAACACAAGTTCATTATATTTATTGATTTGTTTATGCACCAATTAAAAGTGACCCAAACAAGTCATGTTTTGTCAAACCAAGAAATGAAGTGTAATAGTGTAGCTTGAACTGATGGTTTCCAATATTTGCAATTTACTAAATTTTAAAAGGCTGT